CCAAACCAAGCTTTTTAGCCCAGGCTAAAATAGCCAAAAAAGTCAAAAAGCTAAAAAGCCAACCCACTTCCCAAACGGAGGCTTTATAAATTTAAGTTTTTTTTCCCTTCATAATTTAAAGGGAAAATTTTATCTTTTCACTTTTTCATAAATTAAAAATGAAGATTTAAAAAAGAAATTGGTCTCTTTTTATCATCTTTATTAATTCAAACAATTGATATGAATCAATTATCATTTGATGATTTGCGCAAAATTATGCTCTAATGGATGTGTTAGACCATTTCTAATAGTTCATTAAATCTATTATCAAATTTAAATTTGATAAAAAAAGTTATTTTTTGCTCCTTCAACAGTTCATTAAACCTAAGATTTCAATTTTCTTTCATTAAATTGAGGATTAATGTGTCTTTTATCAAATCATTGTTCATTGCTGTTGGATTTTCACTATTGGATGTCTCCCGAATGACTACCTCAAGACAAAAATTTGTAAAAAAATTACACTGGCCGGTCGACCGGCCTATAGTCCGCCCGGTAAATGGGCCAGTTGTTCGCCCGGTCGACCAATGGTTTGATGAAGTTGCAAAATCCTCCGTTGGAATAATTGATGTCAAAGAAAACTTTTACTCAAATTTCTACTTAAATTTATAAAAAAATTAATATATTGTTGGAGATGCCCTTAGAAATATTGTTGACGGTGGCAAATGTCAAGTCTTTGTTAATTGTGGCGCGAGATTTAACAAATTTAGTGGAGATAGATAAAGAAAATGATAGTGCTACATGTACCAACTAGTATTATAACATTATTGTTGACCCAACCTATTATACAAATTACAAATAATTAAAATTTTTAAAATTATGCTATATCATTTGTTAGTATACTAATTAGTACACTAAGTAATACATATAACATTATTCTAAAGAAAAACAAGAATAGAGCTCTATCACGTGACAAACAGTAACAAAAAAGAGAGAAGGAAGAGTAGAATAGAGGGAGTGGAAGAGAGGAAAAAAAAAAGTATTAGGCACAAATTTTCAATTGTTTGGTTTGTTTTTCAGAAAAAATTTTGGAAAAAATTCTCTACAAACAAATTTTCAAGGGTAATCAAATCAAACCAAACAAATTTTTTCAAAAAAAATCTCAAAATTTTGTTTGGTTACCTATTTTTCAAAATCACTATTTCTCTTATATATATCAAATTAATCACTTTTTTTAAAACTCTTTTCCCAAAACAATTTTCCAAAATCATTTATAAAAAAAGACAAATCAAACAAGTTTTCGTACTTTTTATCTAAAAAACTACTCTACAAACACATACCAAACACATCTATGTTTCTATTTTTATTTTTAACACACATTTTAATATTTTCAATATAACACTCACACAGACACACTTACTAAAATGCACAAATCTTAACACATAAAATTGAATTATACTTTTGTTACATTTTGTCATATATCAAACTAATACACAATTTGTGTTAAAACTGCAGTGAAGAAGAATAGCAGGGGTTTACGAATCAGACTTTTTAACCCCGAGGTAATTATTGTAAATGAGTCAATAGTTAAGGGGTGTGGTTGTAATTTTCTCTTGAGAAGATAAACGAACTAAATGAGCTGAACAATTAACTATTTAAGTTTGGTTTGAAAATTTTATGAGTTTCAAAATTTGTTCAAATTTAATTCGTTAAACTTTCGAGCGGATTTCAAACGAGTTTTTGTCGAGCCGAGCTTAAATAATTTAATATTTTTATTTAGTTTTAACAAACCGAACGAGTAATTTACTGTTCAAACTTGATTTGAAATCTTTAACGAACTCAAAAATATATTTAATTTTAACTTATTTATTCAACAAACTAAAAATAAATTTTTAACAAACTGAATAAGAGTCGAGTTCAACTTCTTTGGTTAGTTTATCACCCCTACCAATATTACTACTAATTGGATTGTTACTGTTCGTAGAAAGTAATGATGACTTGTTTGTTTGTTGGTTGGTTTTATAGCATTGGTGTGTGAAGTAGTCGAAGAAGTCAAAGCGGTGGAGACCGCAGATTATGAAGACTGCAAGATAGTCATCAACGGTGGTGGTGGTTGTCCAAATGAAAAAACATGCTTTCAGAACTGCACCAAGTGTCTCAAAGCTGTGAATCAAGGGCTCATGGAGAGTCGCTGACCGAGCCAACAAACAACAAGCCTCCTGGCAATGCACTTGTAGATTCTATCAAGGTGCCACGTGCCCACCGTTCAGTGGCTGTCCCTATACTCCTGTTCCACCTGCCTCTTCCCATGTTTAGGTCTCGTTTGAGAACATATTTTTTTAGTAATTTTTTAATTTTTTAGTTAAAATATGATGTAAAAAAAATTAATATATTTGGAATGACTTTTTGACATTTTATGAAAAGATGTGCAAAAAATAAAAAGAAAAGAAAATCTTTAATTTTTTGGTATGAGTTGTTGACTTTTTGATTTTTTTAATATTTTTTTGAATTTTTGGCTAAATCGGTCGCTTCCCAAAGGAGGCCTTAATACTTCAACGTCTAAAATTCAAGAGAGAAAAAGAAAAAGAAAGAAAAGAAAAGAAAAAAAAAATTGATAGTTTCTCTCTTTTATTTGAAGTTAAATTTGAATAAATAGGTGAGAAAAGAGAATGATTTTCTCTCTCTCTCTCTTTTTTTTTTTAAATTTTTTTTTATGGTCTCTTGTTTAGGTTACTACATAAGGAAAAATAAATGAAATTATTTTGTATTTGTTGGCTTTTTGGCTTTCGAAGGTTACTTTTGTAATTATGAGTGTGCCAGCAAGGATCAATCAGTCCTTACAGAATTATAATCGCCAAACAATTATTCAGACGATTGTGTTATGGTTCTTTTGGCCTCAATAAAGAGGACTTTTACTGGTGGCTTACTGGTAATTTGACTTCAGAGAACTTGAGCATAAGAACAGTTAAATAAACTGAAGCATTTCATTAGTATGAAAAACATACAATGATCTTAGTTCCGTAGAGAATTACAGCGGCAATATACTCGAAAACTACTCCTACAAATGAAGTGCAGCGCAGGAACTTAAAGTACAGAAATATAAAGGACAGGAAATAACACTAGAATATGTAAAGTAATTCTTTAGATCTTTTTTCTCCCCCTTTCTCTGAAGTCCTTCCTGCTATTTATACTTTCCGAAGATAACCATCGAATTGTACTTCAAACCGTCGAACTGCTCCTCCGTAATCGTTGATCATGCTACCTTATAAGTAGTTCCACTACGCCTTCACTTGCAGTTAGGCTTCCCCCCTATATTCGAATTTGAATGTGAGCAACCATTGAAGCCACGTCACCGTACGTCTCTTTGTTGATCCGCTACTACTCAGATCTTATAACAACCAATATTGATTGCCACGTGTATGATCAAGATCGAAGACCTACCTGGTCTCCCCATATTACCCATACTTTGCCACGCGTCGAATTATCACTGGCTAGCACAAAATGTGTAGCCAACAGTATTATATTACCGAATAGTTTTTATAAATTTAAGTTTTTTTTCCCTTCATAATTTAAAGGGAAAATTTTATCTTTTCACTTTTTCATAAATTAAAAATGAAGATTTAAAAAAGAAATTGGTCTCTTTTTATCATCTTTATTAATTCAAACAATTGATATGAATCAATTATCATTTGATGACTTGTGCAAAATTATGCTCTAATGGATGTGTTAGACCATTTCTAATAATTCATTAAATCTATCATCAAATTTAAATTTGATAAAAAAAATTACTTTTTGCTCCTTCAACAGTTCATTAATCCGTTTGGCAAGAGCCAAACGGAGCTTTTTTGGCTATTTTAGCTACAAAAAATAAAATAGGCTATTTTAGCCACAAAAAACAAAATATCACATCCAACCCATAATCATTACATTCTTCTCTCACAAAAAAAGCCAAAAAAGCCAAAAAGCCAAAAAGCCCTTCCCAAACCAAACTTTTTAGCCCAGGCTAAAATAGCCAAAAAAGCTAAAAAGCCAAAAAGCCAACCCACTTCCCAAACGGAGGCTAAATCTAAGATTTCACTTTTCTTTCATTAAACTGAGGATTAATGTGTCTTTTATCAAATCATTGTTCATTGTTGTTGGATTTTCACTATTGGATGTCTCCCAGATGACTACCTCAAGACAAAAATTTATAAAAAAATTACACTGGCCGGTCGACCGGCCTATAGTCCGCCCGGTCAATGGGCCAGTTGTTCGCTTGATCGACCAATGGTTTGATGAAATTGCAAAATCTTCCATTGGAATAATTGATGTCAAAGAAAACTTTTACTCAAATTTTTACTTAAATTTAATAAAAAAATTAATATATTGTTGGAGATGCCCTTAGAAATATTGTTGACGGTGCCAAATGTCAAGTCTTTGTTAATTGTGACCCGAGATTTAACAAATTTAGTGGAGATAGATAAAGAAAACGGTAGTGCTACAGGTACTAATTAGTGTTATAATATTATTATTGACCCCATCTATTATACAAATTACAAATATTTAAAAATTTTAAAATTATGTTATATCATTTGTTAGTGTACTAATTAGTACACTAAGTAATATATATAACATTATTCTAAAGAAAAACAAGAATAGAGCTCTATCATGTGACAAATAGTAACAAAAAAGAGAGAAGGAAGAGTAGAATAGAGGGAATGGAAGGGAGGGGAAAAAAAAGTATTAGGCACAAGTTTCTATTTTTATTTTTAACACACATTTTAATATTTTCAATATAACACTCACACACAGACACACTTACTAAAATGCACAAATCTTAACACATAAAATTGAATTATACTTTTGTTACATTTTGTCATATATCAAACTAATACACAATTTGTGTTAAAACTGCAGTGAAGAAGAATAGCAGGGGTTTACGAATCAGACTTTTTAACCCCGAGGTAATTATTGTAAATGAGTCAATAGTTAAGGGGTGTGATTGCAATTTTCTCTTCTCTAATTTCTCTTTCTGTGTTTTTTTTCCCAAGTCGGCCTCAGCAGAGCAATCACATAGAAATCAAAACCGCGATATAGAGATATACGTACATAGATATATAACAGAGGAGAGAGAGAGAGAGAGAGAGATGGAGTGTGTGTTCGGAATGGTAGGCAAGGGTTTCGCTCTGGTAGTCGCCGATTCATCGGCAGTTCACAGCATATTGGTTCACAAATCGAATGAAGACAAGATCATGATCCTCGATTCTCACAAGCTCATGGGCGCTAGCGGCGAACCCGGTGACAGGTCCTCTCTCTCTCTCTAAATTCTGATCTTTCTCAAAATTCCTGGCTTTTTTTGACTGAAATTTCTTCAATTTTGCTTTATGTCTTCTTTATCAGTTTCGTATTTGAACTAATTGGTGTTTTGTTCAGAGCTCAATTTACGGAGTACATACAGAAGAATGTGGCGTTGTATCAGTTCCGCAATGGCATTCCGTTGACAACTGCAGCCGCTGCGAATTTCACTCGAGGGGAGCTCGCCACTGCGTTGCGGAAGGTATGATCTTTTTAGGGTTTTATACTGATTTTGCATTTCTAGGGTTTGTATTAACGTTAGGGTTTTGTTTCTTTGTTGGAAATTATGGGTATTACTATTAGTTTGATAAGTGTATATTAGGGCTTTTTTTTTTAAATTTTTTTTAATTTTTTTATTTTCCTATTTTGGCAACTAGAAAAAAGGCTAGTTTATTGGCTTAATGACTTATTTATGTCACATTTTTTTTTAATTTTTTTTGCATGTTTTTTTTAAAAAAAGTTTAAAAAAAATTAAGAAAAACTTACATATAGGTCTGGTAGGTGGATTTATTATCCAATAAATCTTATAATAATTAATGACGTTTTTCATTAAACACTATTAAAAAAATGTCATTAATTGTTAATTTTCAGCGACAACTTGAAAATTGTCACAAAAAAATATCAGTAATTATAAATTTTAGCGACAGTTAAAAAAATCGTCACAAAAAGTTAATAATTTTTAACTTTCAGCGACAGTTTAAAAAATTCATCACGAAAAAACATCACTAATTGTAAATTTTAGGCCTAGTTTGGCATAATACAAAAAAATTTAAAAAGTTAAAAAGTCACTAACTTATTTAAGTCACATCATCTCATTTAAATCACATCATTTCTCTACCACATCACTTCAAACCCAACTCATATTTCACATTTTTTCGTAAAAAGTCAAAAAGTATACTTATTTAGATCATCTCGTAACAATTATAAAAATCATGACAAAAAAAGTCGCTAATTGTCAATTTTTAGCAATATGTGCAAAAATCGTTAAAAAAATTATTTTTAGCGACAATTTTACTTAGACTTATTTTCAATAGGACTTGGTGAAAATTAAGTTCAATTATTAAGACTTATTAATAATTTACCAAAAAAGAAAATTGACTTTTTCCCTATTTCTCAAAATAGAAATAGGCCAGTTAGTGTCGATGCCATGAAATTTGCTGCAAATGCCTAGGAGAGCTTATGCACAATTGAACACATCTACCCTGTATTGGTTGCAATACTATTATTTATGACACAAAAAATAGCCGTCTAATTAGACTGGTTAGACCATTAGGCCATCTCCAACGGTTAATCAAACCTGGCATCAGATTTGAAATTTGGTGAAAAATGCACTTTTTGGAGCTCCAACGATTTCACCAAACTGGTATCAAAATGAGAATTGAACAAAAAAATCATCAAACTGAGAACAGAATACAGGTTTTACCAAATTACTGTGCGTGACCGTTGGAGGAGACCAACCGGTCGACCGGTTCCCTTTCAAATAGGTAGGTTCAAATTGGTCAAAAAGGTTCAAACAGGTAAAAAAAAAAAAAATAAATAAAATTGCCTTACCGGTCGACTGGCCGGTCAACCAATCGGTCGACCACTTCCCTTTTGATGCACGGTTGGAGCAAATGGTATCAGATTGAGAAAATTGGCTTTTTTTTACTCAAATTTGGTGAAAAATTTGGTTCACCGTTGGAGATGCTCTTAAAGCAGCTATTTTGCTTATTACATCAAACTTATGTTGCATGGACTCAAGTATGAATATCGGGTGTGGATGTGGATCTAAGAGTCTAACTTTCATAAATTTAGATCTTAGGATATGTACGCTGTCATATACGCATATATATTACATATTATATAATATTTTCAGATGAGATATTGCAAATTATTAGAAATATATTAGAAATTAAACAGGATTTAGGAAAAATGTAAAAATTTTTATATATAATTTATGTGAGAGGTTAAAAATATTGCTTTACTAGCAAATGTGAGTTTTTTTCTTCTTCATATATTGTAACAAATTAAAAGATTCAAGTCTCTAAATTAGATTCGAGTGTCAAACACATATCTCACACTCTTATTCATGTCATATTTGGTGGACTCGTCACACGGGTACTCTAGGGGAAATGGAACTCTATGCAACACAACATTAGACTGCACCTAACAAATATATACCCATGCAGCAAGTGAAAATGAAACAGTAAGGATTATGTGTACATATATATATTGAATACTAAGAATTGGCACCAAGAATCTCTGAAGAGTTGGTTATACTGAGAGAGAGAGAGAGAGAGGATCGTGTTTGTATTGGGTCAGCGTGGCTAAAAATCTCGGCTGTGTTTCAGAGTTGGGGGTGGTTAACCCCTCTCTCGGTCTGTTCTTTTGTAAAGTCGCTTGATACATTGTGGAGGTGTATACACTATAATAGGGCTTTATTGTTTTTTTGTCTTCTATTTGTATATGGGTGACGATCCCTTCATGTGTCTTTTTTTGAAACCTTACTGTTATCAAAAATACAGAAAAAAGAGATGACTAGTATAGAAGCTCTGGTTTTCCTAATGGCATGACTGGCTTTAGTTTCTCTAATTGGGATAAATGGATGACATAATTGGTAGCCTTATATTTAGTCATTCTCCTTGAAACAACGTGGGCTTCACCAAGCTTCGACATCATTTATAAACATGTCTTGCTTAATAATGTTTAGATTCTGCTTACTTGTCAATGTGGAAGCACTACATGTCATAATAATAATTGATTGTGCTTTATTTTTTTGTTGCTTCCTAGCTAGATATTTGATTGTTGGATAAGGGTTTAAGCTGATTTAACCTTTCGCCTAGGTATGGCTTCACATACTGTTTAGTTTACATCTGGCCTCAGGCTTTGGTCAAGTCTGTTTGGCTCTCTATGGAGTCCTTCAAGCTTTTAAGAGGCACATTTTGGCTTGCTTGAAGGCTCAATGTGGTAGGGATACCATTTGCACAACATGCATCACTACAAAGTAAGGTAGCCATTTGGATATATATTTTCAATTAGGGGACAATGAAATGCTTAACATGCCATTTTGATGGATTGGGTGTCAACCCAATTACGGTTTTTATAAATTTAACTGTTCCACTACTGGATATAATTTAGAATCTGGACCATTAGTGTGACAAGTGGTATGGTAATCTAGAACTCCAATTCTGGTTACAAATTACTGGGTAAGGTCAATCTTGGAAGTTCCAAAGCTAAGTTATTGTTTTGGATTTTGTTAGTATTGTTCTAAAATAGAAACAAGGTTGTTCTAAATAGAAACGAACACTATCAAATAACTTTACTTTATCCCTTAGTAACTTTTATTTGTTCCCATTGTTTTGAATCTTGCTGTGAACTTACTAGGTTTGATTTAACAATTTAAATTGCCGTTTCTGAATTTATTATATTTTGGAGAGAACTCCACTATGATTCTTCATGTGCTGTACATTTACATGCTTTTAATTACATTTAATGTTTTACCATATTTCTTGCTTCTAGAATGTTTAATCATATTACACGCATGCTCTTTGGGTGAAACCGGGTATTTTGAGTTCCTCTGACACTGAAATTGGCTGAAACCTTCGCATTTTGGCTTTTCAGAGTCCATACTCAGTGAATATTATTCTGGCTGGCTACGACAAGGAGACAGGACCCTCCCTCTACTACATCGATTATATCGCCACCCTTCACAAGGTTGACAAGGCAGCATTTGGTTACGGATCATACTTCTCACTTTCCATGATGGACCGACACTACCGCCCTGACATGTCACTGGATGAAGCAATTGACCTGGTCGACAAGTGCATAATGGAGATCCGGTCCAGGCTGGTCATAGCACCCCCAAATTTTGTCATCAAAATTGTCGATCAGGATGGAGCTAGGGAGTATGGCTGGCGCGAAACTGTCAAAGATTCTCACATTTCTGAGGCATGATGTGTATTGGGTTTGCGAGACTCTTACCTGTTTCTTATTTGTCTTCACTGTTTGATGGATCGACTAGAAAATTTTACCATTGTGGAACTGTTTTTAAATATTTGAAGCACTCTTATTTAATTTTGCAATATGCTATGTTCAGAAAAATTACTTTTTCTTCATCATTTTGAGTTATCTTTTCCTATATCTCCAAAATAACTTAATGATGTATAAGGTTAGGGGATTTGTGAAGTGTTTTGTAAAAGAAATGGAAATATATTGGTGAAATGTGAATAAAATATATCTACATTTTACTTAGTTTTATACATTTTTTTTCCTTTTTCTTTCTAATTTTTTTCTCAAATCTCTCAACAAACACAGCGTAATTGCCTTTCTCGGCCATAGAAAATTAAAGGAAATTTCAGGAAGATTGGCTGATCATAAATGGAGGGCCAGGTAGATGGTGTAAAGTTGGGTAAACTGTTAATGAGAAATAATAGGACATATTTCTAATTTTGAAAATTCTATGATGTTTTTGATGTTTTGAGTGCTGTTATTAGCATCACATTAATTATTTTAGACTTCTAATTATTTTGGATTTCTACTTATAAATTTTAAAATCTTTCAAAAATTTCTTCCTTCCCAAATAATATCAAAATTATTCTTGTGAAATATTTCATCCATTCAATTAAATGCACACCCTCGCATCCTGAAAAGCCACTCTCTCAAAAATTTTAACAAAACTTACGAAGGTGATTACTATTTTATCTCCACATATTTACTTGTTAATGACCTAAGGAAATAAGTGTTCGGTTACTTATTCTCGAACAAATAAAAAATATTCGAGCCTATATTCTTGAATTTTGGTCATATGTTCGGGAGTTCAGTTTCAAAAAAAATGATGAACATTTTTCATTATTTTTGTCATTTTTTAAAGAAATTTACCTTTATAAAGCCAATCTCCTCCGAGCTAAGAACACCATTAAAGTTATGAACCTCTTATGAACTTTTATTAATGTACTCCTCTCATCTCATGGAGTTGTGGTTTCCGAAAAAACTTTCACTCATTGTCATTGTCGAAGAAGTGTAAATGATTAAATGGTTGTCACCGTTACCATCAGAATATTGTCATCAAAGAGTTTTGAAAGTTTTGAGGATGGGTAGATTTTGAAGGTGAGATTTGGGGAAGATGGATGTGGATGTGTATTGCCATCAAAGAGTTTTTAAGGTTTTGAGGATGGGTAGATTTTGAAGGTGGGATTTGGGGAAGATGGATGGGTGATGATGGAGGTAGGTACTCTCATAAACCCTAAATCATGATGTATTAGGTGTGTGAGTTTAATTGGAAGATAGGATGTCCCAAAATTATTGATATTTTTTTTAGTAATTTTATTTGATGTTAATATTATAATAAAAAAAGTTAAAAAATAAAATGTCCAAAATAATTGATGGGGTGCTAACAATAGCACTCTATATTTCACCCTGAGCTTAGAAATTCAATCCTTGGGGGTGGATTTGTAATTATTATGATTATTATTTTCCTGTTATGTCGCAATTGCTTTGTTGAGTTTGGATCTTTCGTGCAGGTCTAGTAAGAAATCATCACCCTCACCATCTCCCACAGTCACCATACCTCTCACTGCTACTGCCACTGCCACTGCCACGAAGTCACACCACCACCATCTCTATCCATGGAACCCACCCACCCCGCCAACGCACCTCCACCAATTGAATCCACAATTGATCAAACATCATGTTTTTCTCAATCCCCATCTCCTTCCCTCTCTTTCATGAATGCTTGTGATGCAATCGATCAATTCTCAATTCGATGTCTAACACTTGATGAGCAAGTGCTAGGAAGGTTGGCACAATCGATCAAATCTCAATATGAGCAACTTTATGCATGTATTAAATTTTTTTTAATGTAAATAAATATAACTAGAAATGGATAAAATTTGCATCATCTTTTTTTTTTTAAAATAAAAAAATAATAAGACATTAAGTTGAAATATGTTATATATAATAGGGCTGGTTAGAGGTTCATTTCTGAAATTCTTGGGCTAATAGATCCAAGATTAAGACCAAAAGAATATGATTTGTTCAAAAGGATATTTATCTGTTTAAATTTTAGTTATTTATTTATCTATTCAAATATCATCTATTTGAAGTAGACCTAGAAGAAGGGGTGCATGGAGCCTCTCTCTCTAGGTGATTTCTGGCACCTCTCCGGCAACTTTCCGGTGTGTCTCCAAACACTTTTAAGGTGTAAATCCGAGTTTTTTATGCCTAGGAAAAGGGTTGAGAGTTTCTCCTTCAATTTTGACATAAATTTTTGAATTCTCAACACCAACAATGGTTCTCTTTTCTCTCAATCATTCTCTCATGTTGTTGTTGGTGTTCTTTCTCCTCAACTCTAACTTCTAGTAATGTTTGAAGTTTGGCAGTAGCAGTGGCGAAGTTAGGCAGTGGTGTGAGAACGATGTCGACGACGATGGCGAGTTTGATGCAGATCTTGCTTTCCCAAACCACATATTGAGTAGATCACTGGTTTTCCTTAAATCATAATTGTTCTTTGGAAACTTTATATTTTTGTTGTTTGTAGTTCTTGTTAGGTTGTTAGTTGTTTGTTTGATACCTTAGGATCTTGTTGTTTTTCTTTTCTTTTGTTTTTATTTTAATATAATTGCTTCGTATGTTTTCAAAAAGAAAAAAATATGGCATCTATCTGTACACTTGTCACTTATTTGTCAAACTATCTTCTCAAATGTTCACCTATCTGTACATGTGTTACTTATCAATACATGCATCACCTATCTGTTCAATGTCACCTATTTGTCTATCTTAGAGCCACAACCCTAACAACCACAACCTTCTACCACTACCGAAATCACCACTGATACCATATGCACCACTGTTACCACTCTGTGGTTGTTGTTACCTTCACCACCTCACTACGACAATATAAAAACTAAAAGAGAAAATTAAAAGTAATAAAGTTTAAATCTCATCTTAAACATTCATCATTTAATTCTTTATCAAGCAATTTTTAGCTTCAAAAAAAGTATTCAAGTTTTTTGTTTTTAATTTTACCAAGCATATTTTATTCTTTTCAAGAACAAAAAACCAAGTTTGCATATATGCCAAATTAATAATAATCCTTTCAAGATTTTAAAATATTTTTTGAGAAATTGTCAAGTAGTGCACTTGTTGCATGCAAAGCACGTGCTTTCTCACTGGTAAACAACAATGGTGTAAAAACTGCTCTCTCTTTAGAAATCAAAGCCTTTCTCTTTAAACTCTATAGTTTTCTTTTGCTGTCATAGTAAGGGAGTGAAAGGCAGTGACATCCAATCCCCCTTTCCCTTCCTTTTTCTTTTGATCTACGTGGGTGATTTTTATATATTTTTATTTTTTATTTTTTTTTTGAAATCTGGTCTTTTACCCTCCGATCTAAGGTTTTTTACCATTCGAGCTTCCACTGCCTACGTGGGCTGCAGATCTAAGACCGATGTCAAAGTTGTTTGTCGGTCCTGCACTATGGGTTGTGCAAATATGATTTTTTTAGAGTTTTTTATATTTTGTTTTATTATTTTTTTCTCTCATTTGTAAAGGCTTTTCTGCCTCTTGCATGGAGGTTTGGGTTTGTCTCTGTTATTAGTGACTGCAGTATGTTGCAGGTATGGTTGTTGGTTTGTAGCTGCAGTATGTTGTGGTTATTGGTTGATGGTCGCAATATGTTGCGGGTCGCAATATGTTGCGGGTTACGATTGTTGGGTGTTCGAGTGTTCGGGTTTGAAATACTATAGAGTTGGAGATAATCACTCTTGATATATTTGTTTCTGTCTATCAATGAAATCTAATTTTATCAACAAAAAAAAAACAAAGCAAAACAAAAAACAAACAAACATAAGTGTAAAGAATGTTTTAAATCTCAACCCATTTAATAAAGAAATTTAAAAATATATTCCAACTGGATTATTTGAACACAAACATTAATTCAAAACTTTAAAAAATGCAAATCGAGTTAAATTAGACAGAGAGATAGGCCATTAAACCTGTGCCCACCCTTATCTAGAATTGAATTATAGATCAAGTAATTTTTGTGCATATTTTTTATTTTACAATTTCAAATTCTAAGTCTATGAACAAATTCATATGTTAAATAAAAATAAATACTATAAAATTAAAGGGTTGAGCTTCCCTCAAATTCGATACGGACTGGAAAGTATTATTGGGCCCGTGGGGGCCCACCACGGGTCCCGTTTCGATAATTCAAACTGTTTAATATGTAGAACTCGTCGAGTACTATATCTCTATAAAAAATCATGTTGATCAAATATCGATAGCTATCTTATTGGATTAGATTTTTGTCAACCGTTATTTTTTCATCGTGTATTTTTTTTATATACAAAACTGATTTGATCACGTAGTTATTGATATCCAATCAACGTATTTTTTGTAGGCATAAAGTATTCGATGAGTTCTACATATTGAACGGTTCAGATTATCGAAACGGGACCGGTGGTAGGCCCTTACAGGTCCAACAATACCCTTCAATCCGATCACAAGCTGGAGGAAAGCCAGTCCTAAATTAAAAATTAGTATTTTTATAGTTGGATTGAGGGAAAAGCTTACTATTTATTGCCCATTACATCCTTGACACAACTTAAGTGCGTGCATTTTTTTTTTTTTGGGAGATTTTTTGATAAATCTCATTTTTAAGAGTTTTATTCTATCCAACTCATATTCTTTTTGATTATTTCATTAGGTCCTATTTGAGATAAGAAGACCAAAACACTCTCAATCTCTCATAACCCCATTAATGTTGATATTTAATGGTAGTTCCCATACATCAAGATGTTGACTGTTATTATATTCACATTAATTTAAAAATAAAGTTTTGTCATTGTGTTGTTGTAACAACCCTCATACTGTTTACTGATTAAGGACTGATTGATTACCGATAATCACCGATTACTGCTAAACGGAACTGATAACTGACTGATAATCGAACTGAATGAAATACTGAACTGACTGACTGAAATTGAAACTGAATTGACTGAGTATATGTTTTTGGGTCGTGACAGTTGTCAATTACATGATGTGAATATTCATAATAAAACATATGAATGCGAATGTTCACATGATTTCTGGAATATAGATAAAGACACCATGATCATGGTGA